CGCGCTGAAGAGCGTCACGGGCTTCTACACCACGCAGGCAGCTGCTGCGGCGAAGGAGTTGATGTGGGAGATGGTGGTGGCACGACCGGAGGTCCGACTCAGTGCCTAAAAAGAGGAGGGGGCACATCTGCCTTTTTGTCACTTCTACTTCAGCGACATGCAGCTGAAGTTGATGGGTTTCTTGTTAATTATACTGTATTATATATAACTGTTTATTCATGTTTAAATGGTTCAGCGCAATGTTATGACATGTTTTGTCATGTATATTTTTGTTTGGTTGGTTTCAGCAACCCACAAGACGAGGGCCCATGCGGCCCAAGGCCTCTTTGTTGCAAACATCGCTGCAGGTTTACCGTGGAGAGGAAGCCAAGAAGCTCCTTTGCGATCGCGGCTTTGTGCTCTTCAACGCCCAGCCAGTGTCTTGGGAGGACCGAAGAGTTGGTCAGAAGATAAGATCTTGAACACGTTTGTCAGAAAAAAAAGGATCCTCCCTGAAGTTCCGTGCCCTCATCTTTTTTTCTGAAACACAGTTCTAGGGCTCAGATGGGCTCAGCTAGTTCATGTTAGTTCATCAGTCAGGAGACCTAAACACCGGATGACACGCCCCCCGGAGAGTTGCGGCTGTCTCCAGGACTTGGGGCCCAGCCTGCTGCCCACCGCGCGCGCACTCCTGGAGGTCTTGCTGGCCGAAACGGCGGCGGAGCTGGTGGTGCTCACCGACATGGATCCGAACCTCACCTCAGCTGCTCTGAAGCTGAGAGCTGCCGGTCAAGCTGAGGTCTGTAGGTCGATGCGGTGCTTGGATTATGAGAACCACCAAGACTTGCTCTTGCACTCCTTTGGCATCACTTCCAGGGAGGAGATCAAAGCCTACGGGTCTCACTTCAAGGAAGTTTGCCATCATTATTGGCACCAGATGTCTCCCGAGATCTTGACCCAGCAAGTTCTTCTCACGCTGCGGAGGTTAATCAAGAGCACCTTCTTGGTGAAGGTGCTCAACATGGGCCGTGAGCATCTCGCGGTGGCGCACGTGGACATCATCGACCCCCGCTTCCGCCGCCTGAGCCGCGAAGACCTGGAGCTCTACGCGGACCTTGCCGCCGACCGCCGGGCAGCCGTGCGGTTTCTGCTTCAGCACGGGCGGCGCTTGGGGACGCAGGAGGCTGGACTGGTGCATGAGGGAGTCGTGCATGTGGAAGGGGCCACTGAAGAGAGCATTCAACATGTGGTTTATGTCTATGCACACTTGAGCGGTCGTTCCATCTTGGAGTACTACATTCGGCACATGAATGAGTACCCCAAGACCCTCGTCGTCGGCTGTGGGAAGGCATGGCATAAGCAGGGCCTTTCCAGTGCGGAGATGGGTGGCCGCCGCAACGTCATGCGCATTTGCCAACTGGCACAAGGCCATGGCATTGTAACGGCTGGAGCCGGCGCCTGTGGTGAGCTCTCAGACATGCTTGATGCTTTTCCAGCGCCTGTGGGGGCTGTGATCCCGCTCAACAAGCAACATGAGCAACAGCACAATGGCCAAATGATGGAGGAGCGCTTTGGGAAGAGGTTAATGTTGGGTCTGCCTGAGAACGGCTTCGACATCACAAAGCTTCACCCATTTTTGAGTGAGTTTGCTTGCCGCATGGAAGCAGCCCAGCAAAACTACTTACCGCCAGAGGCCGCGCGTGCCTCCATCCGGCAGCTGTTGTCCAAATCAGGTGCTGCAGAACATGCGGCCAAGCGCTTAGCAGAGATGGAGGTGATGACACCGAAAGAGGAACTCATTCATGAGTTCTCAGAGCTCTTGCGCAGCAGTGGGATGTTTGTTCATTTGAAAGTGCTGCGAAGGCATTTGAAGGGTTTCTTCCAACTGGCAGATCAGCTTCAAACCTTGACAGAGACGAGTTCTGCTGCTTGGCCAGAAAGTCGCAGGCAGATGGTGTTTCATGTTTTTTCCACGAAAAGCTGTACATCTCTAGGTGGAGGGCTTTTGCAAAGAAGATGGATTCGTCTCAAAATATAACACCTGACGAGTAAAGCACAAGCGTCTTTCGGTCTTCCAAGAGGTCGGACCCAAGTGATTCCACACCGTCCATGGTGGAGTCTTCTTGAATCTCTTGTGTCATTTTCAATCACCTTCTCGCCACTAGAACCAGTGCCCATAAGGAGATTGATCCCCAGCAGCGCTTCATCATCAACGAGTGCGCCCATTGCACCGGGAAGCGCGTGACTTGCGTGGACTTCCGCGAGGCCGACGCAAGAGTCCGAGAGCTTCAACACGTCTTCCAGTGAGCCCAGCGGTGTCGGATGCGCGGTCGGTCCGAAGTTGCTTTTTTTTGGACACACAGACACAGGTCAGCATGGAAGGGGACAGTGATTTGTTTCCTTTGGGATGCGAACTATAGTGATTAACTATTATTAATGATATGTTCCACCAGCAATTCACAGGAAGGGTGGATTTCTAGTCGCCTCAAAGACCCGTTCTTGTGAAGGGTGGATCATTTCACCTTAAAGGCCTCTGAAGATGTTTGTGGTCCCTGGTTTTCTCATTTTTTCCAATCTTGAACCTGACTGGCGCTTAGCAAGAGAATGAGAAAATGAGCTCAAGTCCAGGCACCCACCCTTCATCTCCCTTCTCCAGGTACCTCGGCTGCCCTGACTCGCTGCAGAAGACCTGTCGCGGCTCCTGGGCAGCCTTGCTCGCGGTGCTGAAGCTGGAGCCGGTGCCAGTGGGCACGCGGGCGGATTCGCCACAGGAGAGGGTTGGTTCACCCAAGAATGAAGCAAGTGTCCTCACCTGAATAGTAATCATAAGTAATCGCCATCAAGCCAGATCAAGCTCAAGACTGTTGGGAGAAACCTTCTTTTTGGATGACCAGTCATGACATGACCTGAAAAAGACGTGCTTCGGATATCTTCGGATGGATATGTTGGGGGGATTCATCTCATGCAAAGATTGATTTGGGCGGCCCATCTTGGGCTGCGTCCAAACCCTCGGCAGGTGAACGACTCCACGCCCACCGGGCTCCTCCGCGCGGAGCTTTCCGCTCCGCGCGGGACGACGCGTGCGGTGGAGACGACAGAGAAGACGAGGTTGAAGGAGGTGGCAGAGACCATGATGGCGCTGGCGGAGAGCGCCAGTGAGCTCTTCATCACGGGATTCTGATCGGAGACCAAACCAAAGGCTGCGTTCAGTCTGGACTGGAAGTTCTGGAAGTTCGTCTGGAGTGCTGGCGGTGCTGGGTGAGTATCTTAAGCTCCTGCTTCATCCTGATTCCTGTCTCAAGAGGCTGGAGAACCACCGGCACCGGTGCGAAGCATCGACTGGCCCGGTCCCTGGCCAACCGGACGGACGTTGGACGCCGGCGTCCGGCCGCTCCGTCAGCAAGAAGCCGTGGGACCCCTCAGGGTAAGCGTGGTCGCGTGGGTCGCCGGTCGGATCGGTGTTGAGGGATCGGTGTTCTCCACTTGGCCAGAGGAAGAAGCAACGAACGATGTGACGCAGCCGCAAGGCTCCGCACGGATCCGCAAGGTGATGCATCTGATGCAAGCAGCTCCAAGCACTCACCCCACGGATCGTTCGTGGAAGGGCGAACTTGAGGGGCGAAGGTCGGATGGATCGCGAGTATGGTGTGGTGACTCAAAGTACATGTTTTTCTTTAAAGTTTATGATGTTTATGCTTGTATACCTGAAGAGGCGAAGCTCATAGAGGGCGCGGTCGATCTCTGCCAATTCGTTGCATGGTGTTTCCTTCTCGGCCCAGCCGTGTGGGAGCCTTCGTTCGGGGCTTTCTCCTCACGTCCGAAGTGATCCAGCGGAGCGCCCCGAGACGGAAAAAGGGTGACACCTGAGCAAGCCGAAGTCTGAGGAGTGTCGATTCAGTTGATCCTCCCCCCAGAGAACTCGTGTATTGGACGTTATTGGATGCTATACAAGAACATACAAGAAGGTACAAGAATTCCATTCATTTCGGTTACCAGCACCTGATGCATCTGCTGTTTTTCGGGTCACCAACAGATCAAATCTATCCACATCTACTATATACACTGGGCTCCGGAGAATTGTCGGAAGGTCCAAGATGGTGTCGATCTCAATCTCCTCTCTGGTTGATGGAACATCCACGACTTGCCTGTCTGACTTGTCCGTGCAGGTGGCTTCGCTATGCCTGTCAGACCGTTTTGGGCCCAAAAAAGACCCGCCTCGACAGCCGCGCGCACACGCGCGCGCGCGCGCTGTAAGCGTATTTTATGTGGGACAGGGTGTGGCCCAGGTGCAGGTGTTTGTATAGGATTTTGCATGGACTTTCACTTAGGACAAGCGGCTGGTAGCCACGGAAATGCAACCTGTTGACGTTTTGTTTCTAATTTGAGTAATGACCAGCACAGACGTGGCTGCAACTCTCACCCAACATGGAACCCACTTTGGGTGACAACCGGGACTTAGGTAGAGAGTAGCCTGGTATCTAAAATCCGTATGTCCTCTATTCACCATTTGTAAGGTCAACCCACGGCTCTACGGTTTGGCTTGCAAGAACTGTAGAAAGCATTGGCCATGAAGCCATGCCCAGTTTTGTATGTTTTGTGCTGACTTTGCCCAGGCCACCACTGTTGATTGAAGACATTCTCCACTTACGATATCTTACGGTTCTGAACACACCATGCCATGGTTAGTAGACATTCGCGCTCCCTGAATTCTGCGGTTGTCTTCCTCCGCCACCCCTGCTGGGTCGTTTGATCGTTTCGAGTGACCACAGATTGATCACATCAGTCACATCGGAATTGGCCAACCTTGGTGGTGGGACTGCAGAAAACCATAACTTTGGAGGGGTCTCAAGGTTTTTGCTGATTGAATCATTGCCCAAACAGTTGGGCACTGAGCCGCCTGGCCTCTTTGAGGACTGGAAACACTCACCGTCTGCAGTTGATCGCCATCATCCACCATCCCTCATTTCACCTTGGGGTTTTCCCTCTCCCCACCAGGCCTTGCCTGTTCCGAAATCTCGCAGGCCTCCGGCCTCGATCGCCCCGTGCTGCGCGATCGGCCGCACCAGTGCGGCTTTGTGCACCGCTTGGACGTGTGACCCGGCCGCGTGGGCCGCGATGTGAACGTGAGGTTCGGACTGTTCGCAACGTGTAAACTTGGTTAGGTTTGGGTGGCAACCAGGGGAAGTCAGTTTTTTTTTTCTCCAGTATAGCACTATGTCTCTGGAAGGAAGGACAGGTGCAACGAAAGACGTTCTAATGTTCAAGATGACATCTTTGTGAGAAGAAAACGAACAGATGTGACAGCCATGACTGCCATGATCTGCTGTTCTTTCAGCCCCTGCCCAGTCGGTCTTCACCTCCCAACCGCCCAGTGAGCAAGGCTTTGAAGCTCGAGCTCGGCTGCTAGGCCTACTCAGCCAGCCAAGCAGATCTTCCTGGGTTTACTCAGTCCCGGTACCAGAAACAAGTCTGGATGGAACTCCCCAGTCCTAACCACTTGTTAGGATCTGAGCTGGCGCCATGTTGAACCAGAACTGTTTCTTCTGGTTGGTTGTTTGGATTTGACCAGATCTTCCAATTTGGGTGCGCTTTCGCGTGCGCTGAGCGAGGCCTTCGAGTGGATTGCTGCTTTGTGGGCTCACTTACGAGGCACCGGGCAATTGAGAGGTAAACAGAGGCTCCGACAAACCGGGCGACTGAGAACGAAGCTTTCAGCGATAGGGAAGTTGGTTTGACCCTTCCAACTTACTCAGACGATTCGTTCTTATGAATATTGGCATTGTGCTCCCAGAGCCTGGTTCAGTCATTTATCACGATAAAATGGGGTTCTCAACCCCCACCGGTTATTCCACAGAGGAGTTCTTATGCCAGTATCATATGCTGTTCTTTTCTTGTGTTTGCAAGGAAGAGTCGGAATGAAGGCAGTGATTTTCTGTAAGTATTTGACCAGGTTTCAGGGATGGGATGAGCGGTCTTTCCACTTTGAGATGTGTCCTTCCAGCTACTTCCAGATTGGGAAGATTCTTTTGGGTCTTTCCAGCAATCAGAGGGTTCTTATATATTCTTATATTATGTTCTTATATATAGTGTGTTCTACTCTGCAAAGGGTACTTAATGCACACTTGGGATTCCCTCCCATCATACTCACTTGACATCCCTTGACCAAAAATATCCCAAAAAGATAAACAGCAGAAGATGAATGACCTGACCAAACTTAAAGAAGCTGCCACCAGCAGGCCTACTATGACCTGAAGCTGCAGCTGACTTTGGGCCAGTTGCAGCGCGAGTATTTGGTGCTCTGCCATGGCCTGGCGCCAGCTCGAGATGCGATCCGCGCACGGGTGACATGGAAGGCCGGGAGAGACCGCTCGTGAAGGACCCATCGGTGGCGCAGGTATGGACGAAAAGGTGAGTGTAGCTGTAGTTGATTCAAGGTGGATAGATGTTCCTGAGACTTGCAGGAATACACTCAGGCTTACGTTCCATTCAACATGGATGGCAGTCCATCCCCCTTTGCAAAGAGAGGATAAATCCCTTCAGAGTCGATTGGCCAGAGGTTCCTATATATTCTGTCTGGCCAGGTGCTTCGGCCAGGGTTCGTGAAGATGCGCTCCGCGGATTCAGCGTTCGCACCATCCCCCGGGACGTGGATCCGACCTGCCGATCGATGGATCCGTTCGCGCTTCGCGCGCGACCGGAAGAAAAAGGCCATGGACCCATCCAACCACCCCAATGTCACATATGCCAGCCCTATGGAGCCTATGGAGCCCTTGAGTGTTTTGGATTCACATCAATCCAGAGGGATCTACGATCGGACGGTCTCCGCAACCGATTTTGGGGGCCCCCGGAACCCGGTGCGGCCATCCAGCGGTTCGGCCAAACGCCTGGAGCACCTGAACCATGCAAAAACCCATGGCAAATGTCGTGTCCAATATAGACGTTCCAAACATGGAACATTAAAAGCACAGAGATCATGTGTTGAAATATGAAGAAATCACACGATGACCATCCATGATCCGAGGAGCCTCACTGATTCTGACGACCACGTTTTGCCCAGCTCGACACCGACCCCCGTGAATCCATAGTTTTCCCGCCTGTGGGGCGCGCGCGCGCTCGGTATACCGCGCTGTTTTTTGCCTCCGCCTCCGCTGAGTCCGTCAGGAGGCGGATCGTGGCCCGAGCCGCGTGGGCCGCGGAAAGCCCAGCGTGACCTATGTGCAACGTCTGGCCGCCGGAGTGCTCCATCGGGCGCAGGTGAGGTGGACGACGATCACCGCTCTCAGTGCAGCTGACGCGGGAGCGATGGGAGTTGGGTTTGGGAGGTGGGTTTAGTCGGATTGGTTCATCTTCGTAATTCGGGGTCCGGGGCAGCACAGGGTGGGCAGCCCGTGCTCTCCACGCGCCGTGTGAGGCGTGTGCGCTTTTGGGCCTAACCTTGGGCTCGGGGCGGAGGCATCAGATCCGTGCGCAGCTGGCGCACGTGGGGCATCCAGTGCTGTGTGACGGGAAGTGCCCTCATCGGGGACGACGTTGCAACATTGGGAAGACGATGTGAAGAGTAACAAGAACAATAATAAGATTGATACAATAAGGTAAGGAACACATATATAAGAAAACACATAATCAATACAGAGATATTGTTATTGCTTGTTCTATTTTGTTAATTCTTCTATGTTTGCAGATTCTTGTCTTCTGATATGTAACTTTCTTTTAAGATCTGTTATATAAGTGAGACTGAGATGGGTTTGGTTGGATTTGGAGAGGTCTGGTTGTGAGGGTTTGAAGTAGCATTTAATGTTGGAAGGAAACATTGAAGACTAACCTCTGGAGTGATTGGGGAGGCACTTTTCCTTCATATAGGACTTTACATCATCCAGTTTGACGGGCGCATCAGAAAATCTCACCACTCTTTTTGGTGATGTTTCATTGGCGTTCCAAGCGGCGAAAAAGACGGAGATGGAGAAGCACCGAGCGCATCTTCAGCCCATCCAAGCGGTGCAGGTACTGCGCTGAAGAGACCTTCCGCTTGGACAGTCCCCTTTGCCCACAGCACTGCCACTGCGGCTGAATCACTGAAGACTCCGAACTCGGACGGTTAGAAGGTTGGAAGGTTGGAAGGATGTCTAGAGTCTAGATTCCATATACTGTAGATGGACATAGACTTCCATAGACATATCTTATGGTTGGTAGACTTTGGTGTAGACTTATAGGACTCCATCTCATCTCATCCAACCTATGTAAGAATTGCCGATCGGTCAATCCCTTGCTTTTGGTCGCTGGGACACAGGTGGAACGGACTCACTCCTGCGAACTGTGGCCGTGGGTCAAAACCTGAAGTCCGTGAAACACCCTCTTAGGTTGACATGGTTGACCATGTTTGCTAGACCTGTTCCAACCAAGGTACACCGGTTGACAGGGTTAATCCGCCCGCTTAGCAGACACCCGCTCCGCTGCAACCTGCTCCGCTGCAAGCAACACTCCAGGTCTCCACCGCGCCGGACTCGGCGTTGGCGCGCGCCTTGGCCGCCCAAAGCAGGTCTTCCGTGCGCCCCTGCCGCCGGTCTTCGCACGACTGCTACAGGCGGGTCTTTGAATGCTTGGAACATCCTTGGAACGGGGTGAGGATTGACCGGCTCCAATACGTAAGCAGTCGTTTTTTTGTGTTTTTCAAGAGTGCAAGTCGTCCAACAAATGTTGGCCTTAATTTTGAAGACGACAATCCGCAGTCCGAACATGTTGAGCCCACACATGTTCAGCGTAGCACTTGCGAACAAACACCACGCATCTCCGCCAGGCCATCGAGGGCAAGACGCGTGAAGATCAAGAGGTCCTACAGAGGTCGAGTGAAGACACGTGAAGACCACCGGTCTTTTCCCAACCTCCCCTGAGCTCTGCAGCGGTCTTTCGGTAGATTATGAGAACGTGAGTAATTATGTTCCGTATGTTCCTTGGGGTGAAGTTCTCATAAGTGATAATTTCACGCACATACTCTATAAGTTCTTGGGGTCTAGATCACCAGACATCACGCTGACATCATGTTCAGGAATTCTGCGTGATGTCTGGTGATTTCGGCCCATGAGGAACTACAGAGCGGTTTTCACGAACAGACGTGTGTCATCATTTGCGAAGAAGCGCATCTTGCACAGACTGCTGTGCTGTGCTGTGCTGTTTGGATGGATTGGGATTGCAAAAAACATACTCAACCTCATAAGGTACCTTTGGACTCCTTTGAGAGGTGCCTTCAGCTACGGAGGGCACGATATTTGCTCTTCATATCCTGCTTGCATATAGTTGTTTGGTGTTTTATTTTTGTATTTCTGGAGAACCATGGTTGACATTCTGCGGATGCGTGCGGGCAAATATTTCAGGGCATATGCGGGCAAATATTTCAGATATTTCAGGGCAGAAGCACTGGTCAAAGCAGATCAAAATGATTTAAGACCTTTGGTGATGAAGTGATGTTTTCTATTTGTTTGCCACTCAGAGGTGAAATCTAATTAGATTACACACCCAGCATATTTGAGAAGACTTGCTTCTATTCAAAAGCATACTGCAAGCACTGTATTTGACCAACGTTCTCAGTTTTTGACAGTCTAGGATTTCCACTGAAGAGATCCTTCGGATGGACACGGGGTGTGACGTGTGGAAAAAGATGTGAGCGCATGTGAGCGCATGCGAGCGCAGCTGCAGCCTGCTTCGTACCCAGGTCAGTGTTTACAGGGTTTTGACCCATTTTCATAGTTAGATGAATATGATGAATATGATGAATCCGTAGGTTTAGGGACAAGACTTTGCATTTCGCTTGACCTCTCTTTTTGCAGGGTTGTTTGAACGCTAACATGGCGGCACTATACGACACCCTTTGGAAGGACCATGGAAATCCCTGACCCCATCTAGAAGACTCTCTATAGTTGAAACTGGAAGTGGTCACAAGTACAGTACAGTTGATCAAAGGATTGGGCGCTCCATATACCCTTGTATTACTCTGTTGCTGCGCATCTCCCTCATTCTCCCTATGTTCATCCCAAATCAACGTCACTGAATCAGACACGCAAACACTTCGCTTGCCATCTTCGCCTTCGAACCGCGACCGCGACCGTGCCGCTGTGTCCGGACGGACCGACCAAGTCCGAGTCCGAGGCACCTCGCGGCTCATCGTGCGGCTCATCGACTCCGGGGACCAGTACGCGGTGAAGCCGGAGAACCTCAGGCGCGAGGGCGACCGGAGACGCGAGTCGCGCCGGCGCGGGGGCGCGAGCGAAGGGGGAGCGCGAGGGCATGCGGCGTTTTGATAATAATTGGAGGCGGCTCCACAGCGGCTTCACACCGCGTGAGGATCATTAGGCGAGTCTGAGGCGTTTGGCCCAACGAGTGGGGGAGGCCGCTCCGCCGTCCCGGGCCCGGACGACGGGCATGTGGGGGTCCAGGGATGGTAGACTCTTGTAGACTCTTCATGATCTGTCAATGCAGGTTTTACATGGTGGGGGGTTAAATGAATAGTGAATAGTATGAATCAACAGTCTACATGACCTGTAGAGACCTCACTTTGCGCATCTGGGCCTCTCAGCTCGGTTCTTTTTTGTTTCTGAGACGTCAAAGAGATTGGCCACTCTTCTTCAAGCAGACATGGTGGCAGCAAAGATTGCCGACGATGCAGACAATTATCTTTTGTTCAGCAAGTTGTCCGCTGCCTTTCTAAAAAACAGGCCGGTCGGTACTGTAGGGCATGATTAAACGTTCTAAATCACCTCTGAAGCTTTGCATGCTTAAAGCGAACGATGAAATATCAATTGGGTGGTATGATGATCCAACATGTTGCTCTGCCATGTTTGGCTCAAGGATTTGTGCCTGAGGCGCTGCCACATCACACGGTGTGCTTCTGACACCTTTCCGCTTTTCTCGAAGCCATGCGTGAGGCGATTTGCATCCACATCGGCCAGGCGCAACAGCGTGCAGCAGCAAAGCCACATGTGGCAAACGCTGATCAAGTCACGTAGTGACCTTTAACATTTACATTCGATCATTAATCATTGCGTGGCACAGACATGGCAGTGGGTTATGCATTGATATATATATATATATTGGTACGTACCATTTAAATTTGTAATTTTGGATCCTGATTAGTAAAGGGAGGTCCCCTCCCTCCTCTACACAAATGGGAGGCCCAAACTACCACCAAAGCAAATCTGGGTTCCTGGGAGGATTCCTTTTGTAATTGATTGTAATAATGTAGTTTGCATTGTCCTTTCTCATGTTCTTTGTAATTAGGGTCCATTTCCTATGCAGCCTCAGATCAGATCTTCAGCAGATCTTGATGTCTACTACCTTGAAAGTTTGTTTAGGAGCAATCTTTACATAAAGGACTGATTAAGGAATTGATGGCTTTGGGAAGCTGTGAGTTTTGAAGAACTAAAGACATCTATGATTACCAATCATACTCTCAGCAAGCCAGCCATTGGCTTAGTAGTGTTGAGATCTATGTTTACATGTTTTTACAATATTCCGTTTTCTAACGAAAACACTTTGCACAATTGAGAACCCCTAGAGCACAGTTATTATTGATGATCAGGGGCCTTCCTGACTCACTACCTCGAAAATTTGCTTCAATCTTTATATAAAGGATTTAAAGGATTGATTAAGGACTTGAAGACTTTGGGAAGCTGTGGGTTTTGAACACCGAAAGAAACCCATGATTACCAATCATACTCTCAGCAAGCCAGCCATTGGCTTAGTAGTACAGCATTGAGATCTTTTTTTGTTTATTTTTTTTGAGGAAAACACTTTGCACAATTGAGAACCCTTAAAGCAAAGTTATTATTGAGGATCAGGGGCCTTCCTGGTCTGCTACCTCGAACATTTGCTTAGGATCAATCTTTATATCAAGGATTGATTCAGGAATTGATGGCTTTGGGATAGACCTTTTGGTTCTTTTGTGGTCATATAGACCTTTCTGCTCCTTTGGTTTTGGGTCTTATAGACCCCCTTTTTTGGGTCTCATTATAGACCCTTGGCTTGGCGGGCTTGCATGCCTTTTACTCATACGGCGCGGGCTGTGATGACCAACAAACAGCGCCTACGAAGCTGTAGAACCGGTCCACCCGTTTCGGCTCCCACCATCCCTGCCCCCAGCCGTTCGACCTAGCAATGTTCTTGGCATCCTTTGGTTTGTTTGTGGTCTAGACTGTCTTGGATTGGTTTGTCACGAAAGCTAGCACCAGCTAGCTGGAGTTGTCCTTGCTTTAGCAAGTGAGGGGCTGGAATCCTCGAGATCGCAGCATCACGTGAAAACTTCATATGTAGAGGGCCCCCCCCCCGCGGGTTCAACTCTCCCCTGGGACGCCTCTGGGACGGGGCACCTCTTATGGCATCAATGGCATCCACTTTGGTTCAACTCCTCCGTGGAGGTTTTGGGATACGATGCAACAGATTCAACAGATTCACAAGCTCAGGTTGGCTGTGTCATTGCTGTTCGTGTGTCTTACATGTTCACAACGTTTTACCTCATGCGCGAGACCTTGTGAACCATCCCTCCAACAGCCCCATGCCTATGAAAAAAGATTTGCCTCACTCCGCTTGATGTCCCACCAGTCCTTTGTCACTGGACGGCGCTGTATGCTTTCGTCACCTACCCTCGGCCTCAAGTTTGTGGTCTTATAGGCCTTTCTGCTCCTTTGGTTTTGGGTCTTCCGGACCCTTTGCTTTGGGTCTTATAGACCCGTTTGCTAGGCTTGCATGCCTTTTACTCATACGGCACGGGCTTGTGGTGACCAACAAACAGCACGTACGAAGCGGTAGACCGAAGTGAATGATTATGTTGTGGAAGGTATCCGTGCTTTGCAGTCTGGAATGTTTGCTTGATGACATTCTTTGTTGGACGATGGATTCTTTGCTGAAAGTCATATCTGAAGCAAACAGTTGCCGTTCTTCACTAGATTGAACCTATCCTCGCGCCATTCGCATCTCATGCTGTTGTGGAGCCAATGCTTGTTGATAATCAACAGTGGATTGGTCTAGATGTCCTTATCAACAGCATATTCCGAACCCCGCTTTGTTCTGCTGCGTTGGTCGTCATGTCAAGCAACCCACTCCAATGCAGGGATGGTAGAGTCTCTCGGATGTTAACCCGTGGAGCGTCCTGTTGCGGCAGGGCGGCGTACAGATTGGAAATGCGTGCTGGGAACTCTTTTGCTTGGAGCACGGCATCCAACCTGATGGCCAGATGCCTTCCGATAAGACGATTGGGGGTGGAGATGATGCGTTTAACACGTTGCTTGGCAGATCCCGCGTTCGACATCCAGGTTGGAGTCGACTGAGGAGAGTGAAAAGAGTTCCCAAGTTTTGTTCATACCATATGGCCATATGGCTTTGTTTTTTGCCGACTGCCAAACACATTAAATCGTTATAAACTATAACTAGACTGAACATCTGAACAACAAATGGATCAAGGATTTTCCCTCTGAACGAACAGACGGTAGGTCTTCACATTAGCCACCGGCAACAAACACCGTGCAGCACCACCGCCGTGAAAATAGCATTGGGAAAACAAGGCGGTGTTTGCACTTTGAGATACAAGACAACAAACATATTTGTATCACTAGGTGGTGAAACGTACACAAATTTGTTTGTCTTCAAGGAAAACCTTTTGCCGCTGGGTTGTTTCACTATCTACTCTTTGTTTGCGCACAGAGTCATCGAACTCTTGTGGTTCTCATTCCTGCTAGTACGACTTTGTTTGTTCTGCCACGGCTGCTGCGGCCATTGATACAGGAAAGAATGACATTCAGAAAAACGAACGACTGGCTGCAAGGCATGGTTCACCAAAGAAACTAATTGACGCACGCACAAACAATGAGCCAGCGACGCGATACACCTTGCTGCGCAGGGGCAATGGGATGTTCAAATGTGTAACAACAATTGTAGCTCATTGTAGCTCAAGCTCTGGCCACGTATTGATGTGTCGAAAATGTATGTGCCACTCACATCTCGATTCTTGAGGATACAGCAACACACACACAACACACCCTACCCCAAGAAGATCCTTGGATGGGCCAAGACATCATGAATACGACTTCTCTTGTTCACCTTGGCATATTGACCAGGGTCTTGTGGTTTTGATCCATAATCCCGTAGTCTTATGATTGAGTCAAAGTCTAGAAATGTAATCAGAGCCTATGTGAATGAAACAGTTATGAAACACCTCCCAATCTTTTTGGTGGAAGTCGCACCAAAGGGCAGCATGACCTACATGACGACACTTGATTGATAAGGGGAAGCTAGCCATGGTTGTCTTCTGGGGCGGGGTGACAACCGCCAGCCGAACACCAAGTTGAAGCTGCGGGCGCGACTAGCACCTGAGGTTCTTCTCCGAAACGGGCGCAGGAAAACATGCACCTTGGTTAAGCAAACGGTTGTGGTGAGGATGTAGATCGTTCTTGAGAACATTGTGTTTCTTCTTCTCGACGACGGTTCTTGTCTAACGAACATTTTGTGTCTGTATACATGGACATTGGGGAGATCCGAGCCCATTGAACAGACGAGGTAGAGTTCTTTTGAAAAACAAGCTTAAGAGGCCGCATTCCCGCTGAATATCAAGCTCTTCAATCTGATCTGTCTGGTACCCCTAATTAGTCACATGCGGGGATATCATGCGTGGGCACTCACGAGTGTGACCTCTCATGTGTGTGCTCGCATGTTTTCTCTCATGTTTTGCTGTTATGTGTGAGCTCTGATGTGTGTGCTGTAGTGTCTGTGCTGTCGTGTGTGTGTGTGCTTTCATGTGTGTACTGGCATGCACGTGTGTGCTCTGATATGTGTGGTCACATGCTTTCATCAGAGGGCTAAACATACACACACACACACACCCTTGGGCACAACCCTACACACACCTCACACATCTACACACACTGCAGGGCACAACCTCACTGGTAGGACAGATTGATTTCCTCGGCCATGGCTTTCTTTTTCTTCCATAGCCTGAACAAGGCCTTGCTGTTGGTGTTCCTGTTAGGGACACCCTGTATGTGGGATGTGGATTCCCAAGCCTGGACAAGGCTCACTGATGATCAGGAGCAGGGCCTGAAACGGGCGTGTTCATCCATGCTGAACAAGGCCACTCATCCTGGAAACGGCCCCGCGAATACAGTAGATCAAAGGTTTGTCCTGATCTGCGAAACTTTTCCAAGTAGTCTTGGATGGCTTTCTATTTACTGTAACTCCTTGCAACTCTCCATTACAAACTGATCATCAAAAATTTTTAGATGCCACCCCAGTCCGCCGCACAGCAGTGCGGTCTGCTGCGTGTGCGAGGGCAAAGGATCGGGCTTTGCAGCCTGCACCTCGAAAGAAGAGGTGGCGAAGGCGATCAGCACGCTGAATGGGTGGGGGCCCCCAGCGCTGGGAGAAGAGGATCAGGATTCTGCAGATTTTGTGGAAGAAAGAGATTGATGGTTATGGTTTATGTTCCCGCTTGTGGTGTTCTGCTTGTGCTATTTTAAGCGGAACCAGTTGAAGCCGGTACCCTCTAATGACCCAGGTTGTGGATGGTTGTGGCTTCTATAGTTGCAAGTGAGTATTGGGGAAAATTTGTATTTTTGAAAAATCAAAAAATCCGAAAAAATACAAAGTAAAACCAAAGACGAAAAAATACAAAGTAAAACCGTACAAACTAAATACAAAAGTACAAAAACATGCACAAAAGGAAAAATACGAAAAATACGAACCAAATACGACCCGCAAAAACATACCAAAAAAGTAACTACGAAAAAATACGGCCCGCGCAACAAATAAAAAATACAAAATTTGCCGAAGCGGGTTGCGAAACAAAAAAATTGCAATTTTTTCGTTTTTTCTGACGTGTCGACGAGGGTGTTTGCTGATTTTGCAGCCCGACTGCCTTTGTTTCTATTTTTTGCACAATGCAAAAAGACAGCAAATTCGCGCACATGTTTCTTGACAACACATAAAAAGGTCAACGTGACTCAAAATTCAATTGGCTTGGTGGGTGCTATTTGCATTGTGGCCCTCATTTGAGTATGATATTTGGGAACCAGGGCCAGTTAGGACGTAGAACCATGCAAGAAAGTTGCATTTCAGGGTTGTATGTTTTATATTCTTTTTGTATTTTTAATGTTTTTGGGTTTCTTAGCCTCTACCTGGAAGGGGATTCAACAATACTTCAAAAAACTTTGAATAAGCATAGCTGACGGTTATTTTGAGACAATGGAGCACATTGATATCATTGATACTAGACCCAGACCACATACTTCTCGGAGAAGTAGAAGTGAGACCCCTATTGACCTTGCAGGAATTGCGTTTTTCCTGTGTCCCCCAGTCTTCAATTCCTGTCCAGGTGCTGGAGGACAGCAAGGAAGCGAAGCGTCCCAAGGCCAGGCGTCGTGTTTAAATAAGTTTAAACTTTAAACTTTAAACCTTCATCCACCGCAGAAAGAACGTGAACGTCTCACGGCAGTCCGTTGCCATCCGTGACTGTATGCCTGGACTTGCGTGGCATTGATCTGCTATCGAGGCGAGATTCACATCGAGGGCTCTTTTGCGCTTACATTGCTTCGCGTGTGTTTAAACCACGTCCACTTGACTTCACATTGATGGAAGGCTGTCCCTCGCGGCTCCGCTCCAAAGGGGAAGAAGCCTTCCCAAAAAGGGCTTCACCTTCTTCAAGGGCTTCGTCTTCTTCATCATCGTCAATATCATCCTCGTTGCCTTCAACCAGGACTCCAAAGGCCATCTACTGACATGAACGTGTGGGAGCAACTAAACACAGCTGATTGGACTGTAAGAGTATTTTTGCGTCACACCAGCCCCAACGACAACGACGACAACAACAACAACAGCAACAACGGCTAGAACGAAGAAGAGAAGTAAGGACAAAAAGAACAAAAGATGAGCAAGCAAGCAAACAAAGCAAAGCAAAGCAAAGCAAAGCCAAGCCAAGCCAAGCCAAGCCAAGCCAAGCAACCAAGCAACCAAGCAAGCAACCAAGCAAGCAACCAAGCAAGCAACCAAGCAAGCAACCAAGCAAGCAACCAAGCAAGCGACCAAGCAGCCAAGCGAGCAACCAAGCAAGCAACCAAGCAAGCAAGCAACCAACCAAGCACCCAAGCAACCAACCACGCAACCAAGCAACCAAGCAACCAAGCAAGCAAGCAAGCAACCAAGCAACCAAGCAACCAACCAAGCAACCGACCAAGCAACCAACCAACCAACCAACCAACCAACCAACCGCAGCAGCGAACGTCCTTTCGGCGTTTTTGGGCTTTTCACGTCAAGAATGATGGCGAGCCAGCGCGGCAGTAACCTGGTACGAGGTGCCCAAGGAAAGAACGAGAAAGGCAAGGCAAGTGGCCGGGCAGCACAGAAAGAGAAAGACAAGGCCGGCCACTGATACATCAAGTTTGCGAGACTTGGGGCATCAGGTAGAATGTGCGCGCGTGTGTGTAACCCTTGGAATCACAGGGATGCTTTTGGATTGTTTTTCGTTTTTTCGGTAATTGCAGCAGGGGGTGCCAGGGACCGTGCAAACAAAGACAATTGGACTGGTCTGTGATATAGCTCCGGGACGCTGGAGCTACGTACCTGCTTTGAGAAGAACATACGTAAAAGCAAAGCTGTCCAATACGTTGTTTCTGCACTTAGTGTCCCTGCAGTAAAGGGCTAGTGCAGCGGCGATTCACTTTGGAACTTTCGTGAGCTTGGGACCTGAACTTGAACTTGTGTTTGGAGGGTTTGGAGGTTTTGGATGCACCGTTTTTGGAATTACCGTTTTTCACTTTTACCAGGTCTCTTAGGTTTTTCACTTAGGCCGGCGTGTGGCAACCGCTTTCAAATCATTATGCAAAATCTCAAGTGTGTCTGACCTTCGAGTCAGCCCAGGTTTAGCCTGCAGAGTGCCCCCTGTGGACCCATCGAACGGGTGTTTTTCGATCGTATCCCTTGCCCGGATACAGAGCAGCTCGCAGCGAGCGTAGGTGGCTCATGCCAAAGTTACTTGCCAAGACCTGTTGAATTATTGAGTACAGGTAGGCAGCTTTCGAGCAAGCCATTAGGTGACCGGAGCGATCAGAGCAACCAGCCATTTTGGCACGGCGTACGTGGCCGCAGCGGCCGAAGCTTGTCCAAGGCTCATTGGAGCCGTCGTAGGCTTAGGTGCACACACAACATGTACATTTTAACTAGGCAGGTCTTCCTAGGTCGTTGTAATGAGGTTTGGTTTCATCGGTTCCCGTCCACTTCATTTGGTTTCCCTTTTCATCATTTTCCCCTTCACACACTTCTTTTTCTCCTCCTTTCTTTCATGTCTTTCATGTCCTGTCATCTCACCCCTTTCTTTCTTCTGCGCGCACATCAGTCCGGGCCTTAGTCTGTATGCGCACATCTGCTGTACATTTAGGTTTCAGCTCGCCCAGGTTCTGATAATGAGGTTTGTTCATCTTTTGCCCCTGTGCATCTGGTTCCCTTTTCATTGCAACCACACACACACACTTTTGTTCCGTCTGTCCTCTCTTTCATGTCTTCACCCTCTCGTCCATGCTGCGCACACAATGCACACTTGTTCGTCATTTATGTTTTGCCTCCTCTCGGGGAGGGGTGTGTGTGTCACCCCCTGTATCTAAGGGTTCCACCTCTAACCTCTGGAACTAAGAGTTTTGAATGCAGGGGGACGGGTCACC